TCGAACCATACCAAATTCGCGGATTTGTGGAAGGTCAAGCCCGAAGCACGAGGACACATGTACGACTCAATGCGGCAGCTGCTCAAGGATAGAATTACAAAACGGCTCCGTGAACTCGCTTCGAAGTACCAGAAGAATTGCAAGTGGATACAAGCTGGCCGATGGGAGCTAGATCATGCCATTCTTCGAAGCGCAAAGGTCATCGGCATGACTGCTACCGGCTTGAGCAAGTACAGAGGTCTTGTTGCGAGCTTGAAACCCAGAATTGTGCTGATTGAGGAGGCTGCTGAGGCAATTGAAGCCCCAATTGCAGCTGCATGTTTTGATTCTCTTCAGCACCTGATACTCGTCGGCGATCATCAGCAACTGCGAGGAAATTGCACGGTGCAAGACCTGGAAGGAGACCCCTTCTACCTCGATATATCTATGTTTGAGCGGCTAGTGAATAACAACATGGAGTATGTCACCTTGCGATGGCAGAGAAGAATGCCCCCTGAGGTACGGCAATTGCTTGAGCCCATCTACGGCACCCTCGAGGACCATAGATCGGTGCTTCAACGCCCCAAAGTGGTTGGCATGGGGGACCGCCGGTCTTACTTCTTCACTCATAATTGGCCGGAGACTCGAGACAGCTTTGCATCGAAGTTCAATGAGACCGAAGCACAGATGATCGTGGGGTTCTTTGTTTATTTGATACAGAACGGTGTGCCTGTCCACGAGATCACCATCTTGACATTCTACAATGGACAGAGAAAGCATCTGCTGAGCCTTATGAAAAGACACCCTTACCTTCAAGGCCTGTACCTGAAGGTCGTCACTGTGGATTCGTACCAAGGTGAGGAGAACGAGATTGTCATTCTCTCCATGGTCCGTAGTGGTGGTGACAATATCGGGTTCTTATCCATCGAGAACCGTGTCTGCGTTGCCTTGTCGCGTGCCAGATGCGGATTCTATATTTTCGGAAATGCAAGTTTTGCTGCTGTCAATAGCGACTTGTGGAGCCGTGTTGTGTCCATCATGAAGCCCCAGCGAATTGGGGTGGAGCTGCCCCTGACCTGCGTGAAGCATAAAGAGGGGACGTTCATGAAGAGTGGGTTACTCCTCCTGACTTGAGATAAGTTCGATGCTAACGGTTCTTTGTCTTCACTCAGGCCCCTCCGAGTGGGACTACATAAATGGAGGATGCTATAAAAAGTGCGGCGAGAAGCTCGACTGCGGCCATTTGTGCAGCCTGAAATGCCATAGCTTCCCACACTCGCGAGTCGTGTGCGACAGCGTCTGCAACAAGAGATGGGAATGCGGACACAAGTGTCGGTCAATTTGCTCGTCCCAACACTCATGTTCGTGTACAAGTTGTCAAGTAGACTTGGAGACGAGCTATGCAGCGGCGGCGGCGGAGCTGAATGTCCCGGTGGAACCGAAAGCGGATCCCCGCCCCGAAGGCATCCGCGCCTACCAAGCCTATGCTAGCGGAGGAGTCAAAGAACACGATGCCATCTTGTTTGAAAAGGCTCGAGTCAGTGAGATGTCGACTTCGCCGGATCCAGATCTGTACACCGCGATGGAAGATCTTATGTTGATGGATGAGAAGCTAGGAGGGAGCCGCGGTAAGAACCAAGCAGGAGAGGAGGGGGTGAAGGCGACTCCCCGACGGATGTCGGTGTCACTTCTTGACCTGTCCGATGATTGAGATTAGAATTCCATAGCCGATGGGATAATTACCAGCCTTGCAGGAGAAGGTCTATCTCATTGCATACGTCTCAGTTCCTAACACCGTGGATACTATCGAACCATTAGTCTTCAAGTCCATAGATTGTGAATGTGACAATAAAGGCAAAGATCAACACCACCTTAAACCAGGCTGATCCATCGATGATGTCAGAGCACATCTGCGGCAGCACGGCTATTGGCTCGTGGGGAGTATTTCGAGTATTTCTCCCGCGGCTAAACTGCGATTGACAGGCACAGTCCGGTTTCTTTGCTCTTCTCGACACTTCCAACTCTCCTTTGCCTTGATTGTTGTCGACCAAGGGCCCATGTTCTGGAACGCTCGATGCGAGGTGTCGAGTATGTACCGCCTGTACTTGGTATGTATATGTATGTCTGTACTGTACATCTCTGTCCCTCAAATCGCTGCATGCACTGGGTCAGTTCATCCTCAAGAATAATTTAGGAAAATACTTCCAACGATTAGTTCGTCCCTGAGAGATCCATAATTCTTAAGGTGCTGGAGATACCCCCGGGCTACCGGGTGGGGTGGAGAAAGACGGAGATGAGACCATGGGTCGCACTCTCGACTGTTTACGGAGTAGTCTAGTTACAGTACTCAATTATTGGGGAGAGGAACTGCTGATGCTTACTAGGTTCTACCACAGCACAGTATCTATTCATTCACCCCCTCCATCCTCCATCCTCCCTCCCTCTCCCTCTCCCTCTCTCTCCTCATTTCCTCCCCTTCCTCCAACGTCCTACATTATTCGTACAACACCACAAAACACCTCCCTGCATCCTTGCTGGCTGGCTGGTAACTCATCCCGCCAATCGCTGATCAAATCTCGTCTTATTTTCCACCACGTCTTTTTCCAGCGCCGATGGAAGAGTCCGGAAGTGTCTAAGCAGCCCCTCGCGAGCGCCACAGACGTGACTGCACAGGCTGAGGCACTCCCTTAACACTAGCGGCCGATCGAGATGCACCTTTGTCAAGCTGTCATACAACTGCCCTGACGATAAAACCTCTTCCCCCTTGAACCTCGCCACTGACACTATTCTCCGTTCATTGCGCTGTATTTGCATCATCATCATCATCATCATCATCAACAACCCCAGTATTCCAGTATCCATCCATCATCAAATCTCATTATCGTCATCATCCCGATCATTGTCGTCTCCATCCGTACATACTACTGCAGTACACATACTACCTACCCCGATCGGATCTACCAAACCCACGGTCATGGCCGAGTTCATTCGCTCGCAGATCCTGGGAACCACCTTCGAAACCACAAACAGGCAAGAATCCCCGCCGGTGTTTTTCTAGAAACCTGGTAGTAGTACCTAGTAGTTGGACGAACCTCTCCCCCAAAGCTAAACTTTTAATTTCTTTAGATATGCGGACCTTCAACCGGTCGGACTTGGGGCCTTTGGGCTCGTCTGGTATTGGCTTCCCTTTTCCTAAAAGTTCCTATAGTATCCTGCTGGTAAGAAGAAAAAGAACGGGGCACATAGGCTGACCCAAAAATAAACCTCGCAGCTCCGCAAACGATCTCATCGCCCGCCAACCAGTGGCCATCAAGAAGATGATGAAGCCCTTCTCGAACCCCACGATCGCTAAGCGTACGTATCGGGAAGTCAAGCTGCTCAAGCATTTACGTCATGAAAATGTATGCTGGCGTTCCGTACCTGTTCCTTTTCTTTGCTTCCGCATGCTAACGTGCCACACAAGCTCATTGGCCTGAGTGATATCTTCATCTCCCCGTCCGAGGATGTGTAAGTGGGACCCCAAATCTCACAGCATTACGTGGCAAAAGATCAGAGTGGAGATACTGACGGGGACAATCAGGTACCTTGTCACAGAGCTTCTGGGGACCGATCTGAATCGACTCCTCACTTCTAAGCCCCTCGATGGCAAGTTTGTACAGTACTTCACGTATCAGCTTTTGGTAAATATCTCCTGGTTATGCTGCATCTTACTCATGCTGATGTGGACTAGCGGGGGCTGAAATACATCCATTCGGCTGGGGTCATCCACCGGGATCTCAAGCCTAGTAATCTCCTGATTAACGAGAACTGCGACTTGAAGATCTGTGACTTCGGTCTGGCTCGAGTGCAAGAACCCCAGATGACGGGCTATGTATCCACAAGATACTACAGAGCACCGGAGATCATGTTGACTTGGCAGAGATACGGCAAGCAGGTCGACATCTGGAGTGCAGGCTGCATTGTTGCTGAGATGTTGCGTGGAAAGCCCTTATTCCCTGGCAAGGACCACATCAACCAGTTCTTCCTGATCACGGAAGCGTTGGGAAGCCCACCGGATGAAGTGATCCAGAGGATCAGCACGAAGACAGTAAGCTAGTCTACTGATCAAGGTTTGGCTCAAGCTCTAACATCCGCCAGACTTTGCAGATCGTCCAGTCACTTGGCAAACGCAAACCTCCTGTGTGGGCATCCCTGTTTCCCGGAGCCGATGCGCAAGGTGAGTACACTAGTAGATAAATTCAGGGGACCTGAGATCTAACGAGGTGTGAATAGCCGTTGATCTGCTCTCCAAAATGCTCGTGATCGATCCCGACAAACGCATCTCCGCCGAGGAAGCTTTAGAACATCCATACCTAGCTGTTTATCACGACCCTAACGATGAACCGGTCGCAGAGACGATGTTTGACTGGTCATTCCAGGAGGCTGTCCATTCCATCGATGAGTGGAAGATCATGATGTATGTTCAAAGGTTATATGCGGCGTACCTTAGGACCGACTGACATGAACCATAGATACTCCGAGGTGGTTGATTTTCACGACCTTGGTCCAACGGGACAGCCCACTGTTGACCCAGCCACATCTGTTGACCTGGCATTTGGTATTGATGGTGCAGCTGGTCTAGGCCCCCAGCCAGTTGATGGCATATACCAGACTGCTGTCGACAATATCGACCAAGACATCCTGCAATACCTGCAGATCTAGCCCATGCCAGTCATTGGTTCATTGGAATGAAAGCGAAACGCAGGGGAAAGTAGGTACAGGTAGTATCTATCACAGTATTAATTGTGCAGACATCCCTGGAGTAGGTGACATCATGACGCACATGTTCCTTCCAAAAATACTCACCTCCGATTGTAAGGAGGTCAACTAACCCCGCCCCTTGCCCCATTTGCTTTTCGATCACATGAACCTCGAACCACATTTACCTACCTATTACAAGAGCCATAAACCCACCGCTGCCCCATTACTTAAGACTGCTCGAACACTCGGCATAGCCACAGCGAGAAATACCTACATTGCTGCACCCTCCGACGTGAGCTACCTTCCTTCCAGCATCTATCAACCCTTTCGAAACCATTGCAGTGTTGCATACGCAAAACACCTATCGACCCCATAAGCTCCTCCCACATCCCTATCTTCGACAATCCCCGGGTATACAACCTAGACTCCGAAATGAAGGAAATGCTTGCAATCTGGTCAACCATAATCAGCCTCCTCTGCCATATCACCTACGCGTTCCCATCGCTCAAAGGATCCACAATCAATTCGACCACTGCCTGGCAGATCTCACTATATCAAAACAAACGATGCACCGGCCAGACCACATACTTCTCTGGAAACACCAGTCTGCCATGTCACGATGCCATTCTCAACGGCGGTGCACTGGGCTACATCGTGCAAATCGCCAACGGCTCCAACTGTTCGGTTGTGTTTTCGAGCGATACCCAGTGCAAGCAAACCAATAGCACCACCGTCCATCTCAATTCGACAGCGTCGATGTGCCAAGTTATGAAGATCCAAAATCAAGAGATGCAAATCCGGCGGTTTTCTGTCAATTGTGGGGGCAATCGGACAAGGTTTCGTTTTCATGACCGTGTATGAAGTTTCTTGATGCAGCGTTGCGCCGTCGTTCTTTGTAGCTATTTTTAATGCAGTGGGAATGAGATCATGTCTTTCTACAGAGACGCTAATGCTTGACACATATCAAATTATTGCGTTTCTATGCAATATTTACCGGTTTATGGCTAACCAGGTTAGATACACGGGTATCCAGTACTGAGCATATGCATGCGAGGTCAAAAACCGCCATCGAACATTCTCCAATATACACCTTTTACAGACGGTCAGGACACCGTCCCACTATTATCCGCACATGAAAACACTCCATCCACGCTCCCATCTCTATACGCCTCCTGAATCTGGATCACAACACCATATGTTCCCCCGACCATCATGAACAGTCCCAGCAGCACCAATCCAACATGCACTGCAACCAACACTACCCTCGTCCACCTCTTATACCACGATTGCTCATCCTCATCGGCTGGGTCAGCTCGACCATGATAAACATTCACATACAACCAACAGATCCCGGGCAAACTGATTGCCAACGGCGCGAACCCCAACGCCCCGACCAATGCCAACACATACGTGAACACCGGGATGGCACTAGCCAGCACCCACGCTATGGCCGCCATGCCCACGACACACGCTAACCACGTACCCCAGTGCACAGGAGTGTTCGCCTGGAGATGCCGCCTCCGCTGCGGCGAGCCGCGCAGCACCCGGACGAAGAGATACTTGGCCGCGACGTGGACGTACAACGCCCCGCTGACCAGCAAACCCGGAAGAGCGATGCCATATGCCACCCGCTTGAGGACGGGACCCGCGCTGCCCAGCGCCGGCGAGGCGACCCATTTCCCGCAGTAGTGATACAGCACCAGGCTGAAGGTCAGGTAACTGGCGGTGACGAAGCTCATGCACAGAGCGACGGCTTTCCGATAGGCCCGGGCGGTGGGCGGGCGCATCTCCGCGATGACGGGGAGGAAGGCCGAGGTCGCTGATGACGAGACGAAGATGGTCGATGAGGCGGTTATGCCGGCGGCGAAGGTCGGGTGGCCGACTAGGTGGTAGCCCAGGTCGTAGGGGCCTTCTTGCGGGGCCGCTGACGGGCGATCGAGGGTGGTTACTCCAATGCTTTTTTTTTTTGGAAGTGTTAGTCATGTTATGGCATGAAATGAATGTCGGCCGGAAGGCAACGGGTGAAGGGAAGACTTACACAATGATGAATACCGCGGCGAGGATACTAAAAAACCCGACCCAGGTCAACCACCCGATATGGGAGAACTTCCGTACACTGGCGCAGAGGGCGATAATGACGGTGGCGATCACCGAGAACCACACAGTGCACAGCGAGTGCAGCGACAGCGCGTTGAAGGCCGCCGATACCCCGATCACCCCGGAGGCTGCCGTGATCACGTAGGTCATGACGAACAAGAACCCGACCACTTCTCGGAAAATCGGACCCCCCATCAACTGCGCCATGTCAGCGACCGTGTGGCATTGTGGGTAGCAGTCTCGAAAATTGCCGAGCACGAGGGCGCCGTACGTGTTAAGACCGCACCAGCCGAGCACGTTGAGGGCCCCGGGGAGGGCGCCAAGGTCGTACATGACCGAGGGAATCGAGAGGATGCCGGTCGCGAAGAGCACTGTGTGGTAGCCATTGGTTAGTGAGGGATGTTGATGGATGTTTGTTTGGGCTTAGGGGCAACGAACTCTTCAGAAAGATGGCTGATGCCCGTATCCAGCTAACGGTCCGGAAGTCCACTTGCCCTTCGCTTTGTTGAAAGACTTCATCAAGCCCATCATTATTGGACTTGATGTGCTCGGTGTCTGCGACAGCAATGTCCTCACCAGGTATCGCTGGTGAGGTCTTGATGTCTTTGGCCTCGTTTGTCATCGTCATGGTTGGATGTCAACTGATGTGAACAAGGACAAGGGGGGGAAACGCCCCTTCCAATGCGGGGGGTCGATCATTCTTATACTGGTATGAAGAGTGCGGGATCAAGCTGCATGAAGCTGCAGGGCTGGCATGGTATGTCTTGCAATAATTGATCATCCTTGTTAATAGCCCTGTCCGATTCGGTAGTGATTGATGGCTTCACTCATACCTAATGGTGGACGTTGCGATAACAAACGGCTCACTATCTCCTCCGTTGGAGTAGTGTTATCAAATTGGAGTAAGTGACATCCCTGCTGTATCGATTATGCAAGGTGATTGATAGGGAATTGGGGTAGAGCTTAATACCAATATACTGTTATAGCAGCAGTGTGAATCAGTGCTGGCATGCATGTTCACGGGGTTGAGCTGGTCAAACAGTTTGGGTAAATCAGGTCTGACCCCTCTTTAGCTTTAGCTTCCGCAACAGATGGAAGTCCAAAGCTTGTGGGCGACGGTCGGAACGGCCCAGAATCTCTCGACAGGGACACATGTCACATCTACTTTAGTACTTACTGTACAGGAGAAGACGAGAAAGCCATCGTTGGGATCAAGCTTTCGCCGACAATGATCAGTTTCGCGCCAATTGTCTATCAGCATCCTGCAGTGGTTGGAGTCCTCTTACCCCAACCGCGATAAGGCCCTGTGGCTTGGCAGTTGGAGCAATCTTCTGCTTCTTGCACAGATACCCCCGCTTCGAATGGAATATATTCCTCGTTTAATGTGATTGCAGGGGTGAAAAGGTGCTCTGATCAGTTGTTGCTGGACTGTGTTGCTTGCAAGAAAGGCTGTTGAAGTCATTTCTCACTATGTCGGTTCTATTCACCTCCATCTCGCCGTACGTACATTACCGAACCACCCATCTACCGCCACACTTCGCTTGCTAAACAACCAAACAGAGATAACCCAGTCAAGAAGGAAGATGCGAACCAGCTTCTCCGGAGACTCGGTCTCTCCGTCAGCCCAGAGGAGGACGACGACTTCCACACACTCCTGGCCGCTGTGCACGACTGCGCAGAAACGGTCTCCAATCTCCCGGATTACCAGCCCGTCCCCGATCTCGAGCGATACCCTCGACTGAACGTTCGACGACCCTCTCCCGAAGAGCAAGTTTTCGGCCAGGCATGGGCGCATAAGTTTTTGATCAAAGGCAACCCCGATGGAGGACTCTTGGCCGGCAAGACTATTAGCCTGAAAGACACGATTGCGGTCGCAGGCGTGCCCCAGTTGCTTGGAAGCGATATCATCCCCTCCTGGACCCCCGTCACAGACGCCACGGTGGTGACCCGGGCGTTGACTGCGGGGGCCGATATTCATGGGACGTCGACCTGCGAGAATTATTGCCACTCGACCTCGTCGTACACGAGTGCGCAGGGGATCGTTGAGAACCCCTTTGCCGAAGGCTATTCGGCGGGTGGGAGTACCTCGGGCGGTGCGGCGCTGGTCGCCGCCGGGCTGGTTGATATCACTATCGGTGGGGACCAGGGAGGGAGTATTCGTGTGCCCTCGTCTTTCTGTGGCTGTACGTGCAATTGGTCCTGGGTTTCTGAGCCTCTCTGTAATGCGTGCTGATGTGTGGGACAGGTGTGGGACTGAAACCGACTTACGGCCTTGTTCCGTACACGGGCATTGCCAGCGGAGACGCAATCAACGACCACGCCGGTCCTATTGCTCGAAACACGCTGGATGTCGCCTTGTGTCTGGACGCAATCAGCGGCTATGACGGAATCGACGACCGATGCCTAGGCAGCCCGCAGCCCGGCTCGACCGCCTATGCGACAGCGCTAGCTACAGAAGAAACCGGAGGGCGACTCGACGGCGTCCGCGTAGGATACCTGAAGGAAGGCTTCGAGCACGCCACCATCGACCCTGCCGTCAAGCAAGCCGTGATGGACGCCGTCCAGAAGTTCGCGGAGCTGGGCGCGGTCGTCGAGGAAGTGTCCGTGCCGGACCACTACCACGGCCCGGCCATCTGGACCATCCAGCAGCGGATCTCGGGCTCGCTGACGCTGCTGGGCCAGGCGCACGGCCGGCGCGGCCTGCACCTGACCGAGATGGAGCGCGCGCGGCTCCCCTGGACGCCCGAGGGCTTCCGGCGCGCGTTCCCCAGCACCAAGAACGTGATCATCAACGGCCTGTATCTCGCCGCCCAGTTCCCCGATCTCTACGGCAAGACAGTCAATATTGGTCGACGGCTGCGGGACCGCTACGAGGAGGTTTTCGGGCAGTATGATGTCGTGGTGATGCCGACGACGCCCATTGTCGCCCCCCGCCATGGCTCCCCCCGCGACCTGCCGGTTGAGGCGCTCAGGCCTAGTATGGGCCTCACGATCAATACGGCGATCTTCGATGTCACGGGCCATCCTGCTATGTCGATTCCGGTGGGTCGTGCGGCTGCTAGGGATAACGCTGAGGTTCAGTTGCCGGTGGGGATGCAGATTGTCGGCGGGCTGTGGCAGGAGGCTAAGGTGCTTCGTGTGGGACATGCCTGGGAGCAGCATTTCGATTGGAAGAGTCAAGGGGAGGAGAGGTGCTGTTGATACATTCTCGAAAAGGAAAGATAAAATCCAAGTACATATTCATCACGTCATCATTGGACATACAGTTCATGACCTCAATTCATCGTATTACTGCCGTCCACCACGAGTGGGAAACCAGTTCATCAATCGTTATCCGGCATAGCTTTTAGCTTTTCATGACCTTAGTTGATAATATACCCCCCATCCACCACCAGAGCATGTCCCTGAACGAACGACGCAAAGGTCGAGCAGAGGAAGAGCACTGCATCAGCCACCTCCTCGGGCTTGCCCATCCGCTTCATGGGCGCGATGTCCACCGCAGGCCGGAGTCGTTCACGGACTTCCTCGCTGTACGTGGTCATGGGAGTCTCAATCACGCCTGGACACACGCAGTTGACCCTGATCCCCTCCCGCGCATAGTCAATGGCGTCGGAACGGGTCATTGCGATAATGGCAGCTTTGGAGGCACAGTACGCCGCTGTCATCACCCCCCTCTCCCCCAGGAGGAACGAATTAGCATCAGTCATGACGATTTTCGCAGTTTCCAAGCAAGAGAGGAGAAGAGGAACTCACGAGCCCCCGGCCGTCCCACGATCCCCAGCTGGCTGGCAATATTGACAACCGCCCCGCGCGGGCCCTCGCGCCCCGCCAGATCCTCGCTGGGCAGGGGATCCTGCTGAACCATCTGTTTGAGCTCCGCGCGAGAACACAGCCACGAGCCGCGGTAGTTGATGTTGGTGATGCGGTCGAAGATCTCGGTCGAGGTCTCGGTCGAGCGCAGCGCGTCGCCCAGCACCCCCGCGCAGTTGACGGCGTAGTCGAGGCGGCCGAACTCCGACACCACGGCTGCGATGAACGAGTCCACGAAGCCCTCGTCGGAGATGTCGCCGGCTTGGTGGAGTAGGCGGATGTGAGGCGAGGCGGCGAGAATGGCTTCTTTGGTGTCGTTCAACGAGCTCGGGTTGAGGTCGGTGATGGCGATGCGGTCGCAGCCGGCGGCGGCGAAGCTCTTTGCGACGGCTGCGCCGATGCCTGTGGATTTTGAGGGGTTAATTGGGTAGTTGGGATGGAGGGGGTGGGATTCGGTCCGTACCAGTTCCGCCGGCTCCGGTGATGACGGCGACACCTGGGAAGGTATATGTTCGCGTCATGGTGAACTGAATAGCGACAGGCAGTTCAAAGAGTGTGGGAGGGGTGAGTTGTGAGCAACAATATGCTATGGAGCAATTTGTTTATGGTCTCCTCGTCCCCTCGGTATCACCCTGACATCATCTTTATAGATGGTACTGGTAGATCGAATGGGAGGGCAGTTGGAGTCTTCTTCCCTGTCGAGTCTTATCGCCGACTGCTTCGGTGGAGACGAAAGTGGCGTTGGGGGAAGCAGCGGCGGGTTCGGCAATCGTTGGAGTCGGTCGCTTTGCCTCTTGTGGTTGGATTTTCTCCTCTTTTTGCGATTCTCTCACTCCTCCCCTCCATCTTTTTCGCTGCCCGCCCTGCCTGCTGCCTCGTGCTTCTCCAATTTGCCCAATTGGAGAGCTAGCTTCTGGTTATCTCATACTCCGTACACATCACATCCAATTTGCGCCTCCAAATGTCTTGATGCAGTCTCAGCCTCCCTCACAGCCTGTCCGGGGCAATCGTCGCTCGTCTGCTGCTGCCAAATCTCGGGTCTGCGTCCATTGTGGTCGCAGCTTCCGCCGTACCGAGCATTTGGAGCGCCACGTTCGCACTCGTATGTCGCTGCTTCGTGCTCTCCCCCCTGCCTGCCTCGATTGCTATTGCAATTGCGACAATGCGACATATCTTAGCGTCAGATGTTGCATAATGGCTAACCCCAATTTTGTCCGCTTGCAGATACCAAAGAAAAACCGTATATCTGCTTTTGTGGGGCGGCCTTCACTCGCCGGGATTTGCTGAAACGACACACCAACATTGCGCATCCTGGCAATGGCTTGGTATCGCCCAATTCACAGCCTGAGACGGAGAGCGTAGAACCTCACCCACGACCATCCGAGCCCGCGCCAGTACCACCAGCACCCCCAGCACCAGTCCCAGTTCCAGTTCCAGCTGCAGCTGCAGCTGCAGCGCCGCCAGGGTTCATCGTCCCGCCGCCGACATCGCGCCCGGACGCACCTCTCTCAGTCCCGCCAGATGTGGAACAATGGACCGGACCTCCTCCACCACCGCCACCACCACGGGAGTCATATATCACGCCAGATCAAGCGCCCGTGCTTGAGCCTGTAAATCACGCGCCTCCAAGTATACCGCCGCATAGCGGTGTGCTTGGTCACGATGCGGAGGTTCTCGAGGCGGCTCAGCTCTTGCTTCCCGGGAATTACCGACATACTCCAGCTCCAGGTAAGGATTCGCCGTCTGGAGAAACAGCTTCACGGAGCCTGGCATTAATCAAGAAATAGCCCAGCCTGTGCCATACCTTCCCGAAGAATTGAACCACTTCCAAGATTTCACCCATTTTCTCGACTCCATTGGACTGCCATCCGAATGGGTCCCCGCTTTTGGAGAAGTGCCTCAGATGCACAATCCAGTGCCAGCAACTACTGTTCCAGACATTGATCGAAACCATACAATTCAACAAGATGCGCCGCGTCGAAGTATTCCGGAGAGGTCCTCTCGGGGAGATTCGCCCTTCCGATCATGGCTTCCATCGGTGCCGCCCGAAGATCAGAGCCTTGGCTCGGTTCACGATTATGGTATGTCGTCCATTCGAGGGCGAGTACGAGCTGTGTTACTGATGTGACTTCTCAGAGCCACCGCAGAATTCCAGGAGCAGTTCCTCGTTGAAGGTGACAGAGGAGCAGAGACGGCGCTTGGCTGCTGCGCTGGAGGAGTTTCGCTACCTGATACCAGACTTCGTCTTGCCATCACGCCATACACTGACCAGATATCTGACGTCGTTCTTTGACGGCTTCCATACACATCTACCTTTCATGCATGCTCCGACGTTCCGGATTAATGACCGTGCGCCAGAGCTCGTGCTCGCTTTCATGACCCTCGGCGCCCAGTACCGGTTCGAACACCGCAATGCGGAACGGCTCTTTCATGCCTCCAAGGAGATTGTGCTCTGCAGGCTTTCGAAAGAGCCGCATGGAATGCCATATAACACTATTGTTCAGATCCCTCTGGACCACATTCGCGATCCTGCACTGCCGAGCCAGGCATCCCCTCTCCCACCTGCCGAGTTCGCTACGGGAATGAGCGCGTGGAGGCAACTTGAAACCATCCGCACTTTGCTAGCCCTCATGGGATACTCCACATGGGAGAAGGCAGAGCTCGTTCAGGAGGCTTTTGGACTGCAGAATTTGCTTGTTCGATGTCTTCGGGAATTTGGTCTGGCGGAAAACATTATCGCTGCTCCAAGACACGGTCCTTTGCAATGGCACGAGTGGGCTGAGGAGGAATCCATCCGACGCACTCGCTTTATCTCCTTCTGTTTTGTCCATATTCATAGCATAGCCTATAACATCTACCCGGTACTGCGCAGCAGTGAGGTTCACTTGCGCCTTCCGTGTTCTACCAAAGAATGGAACGCAGCGACGGCTCACGAATGGGAAGCTGCGCAGAAGGAAGTTGGCTCCCAGCAGCTGTTCTTCCAGGACGCACTTGCCTTGTTGCTGCAACCCGCACGACATCCAGTACCTCTGGAGCCGATTCCCGCGCCCCTCGGCAACTACATCCTTCTTCACGGTCTTCTTCAACGTATACATCTCGTGAGCGAGCTCTCCATACCAAATGGTGACCATTCGTTTTCACTCCCAACAGAGGAATTGAACAAACTTGAGTACGTTCAGGATCTGCATTGTAGATGTCACGGAAGGGCCTGAAAGATCAGTTCAAGTTTACTGACCGCAAACCTCGTCACAGGAGAGCTCTACGAACCTGGACATCAGTGTGGCAACAAGCACCCGAATCGAGCCTCGACCCTCATAACGAGAATGGCCCCATTCCCTTCACATCCAGCTCATTTCTAGGTCTAGCGTACGTCCGCTTGTCGCTGAACCTAGGGGCTTATCGTCAGCTCGAAACGCGAGATCCATATCGTATCGCTGCTGCGCTACATCGGTCGCCTCGCCCTAGCAGAAGCTATCAATTGACACCTGCGCTCATCTATGCGGCCCACGCCCTGAGCGTGCCAGTACGCCTGGGCATTGACCACGTGGCCCGCAGTCAAGCTTTCTTCTGGAGCGTTCGTCATTCAATCGCTAGCCTCGAATGTGCGGTCTTGCTCAGCAAATGGCTGCTGTCGCTGGCGGAAACTGGCGGCACGCAAAGTTTAAGCGGTACGAGCCCAGTCATGACCCAGCATCACCTTCTACCTCATGTATACTGACATCCAACTCAAATAGGTAACGAAAGCCGCATACTGCATTGGACACGCTGTATCGTCCAAGAGGCTTATGATTCCTTGGACTTGGATAAAGACGAGACTTTTCCGGGTCTTGATCCTACCAGTCTTGGCTTAGCAGTCATACAGCTTTGGGCTCGTCTGTTTCGGAAGAATACACAGTGGCCCTTCATCAATGTGATGGGCGAGAGCTTGGAAAAATACCTGGACCTGATTCGACCGGAATAATGGCTTGCAGACGGTTTTGAAACGAATCCGAAGATAATACTTTTCCCAACACAATTAAGCGCGAGCGCAGATTCCAGAGTTAGAATTGGCACCGGAAACAGCGTTGCCTGTTCACTCGAAGAATGGTGTGTCACGTTCACCGTGACACCGCATGAAATTCCTTCACTTGCGGGCATCACATTATGAGACTAGTTCTAAAAATACTCCCCTGTACCGGAAGCATCGGTATGCATATCCTGACTCCTCTGACAGGATGAATGGCTTGCCCAGGATTTGACTGCTGGATGATCTCATACAGCTGTACAGAACCGGCCAGGGACATATTAATACATCGGAAATGAAGTCATGTCAACGAAAGCTTCCTTTCTTCAAAGAGGGGCAGGCATAGATGCGCCGGAGCTACTCGGAACCAAAAGACAGAGGACAATTCCGGACCTAGGCAGCAACAGTGCTTGGTCTTGGTCTTAACTTTAATTCACAAAAAGTCGGAATGCTAATTATTAAGAAATATGATTACAGGAATAGGCCACAGAGATTGCCGTTCCACCCAATCACTATCAAAACTTCCTCGTTCCCCGATCATCGCCTGAATCCGGTATATCGATTATCCTTGGGGATAGCATTGACATAGGCGAGATTTATCGGTTGTTGTACCTTTTCCTGGCTTAGAAGAGAGATCTCTTCGCCCAGCTGGGAGAAGGAGTCGCTGAAGCGGAAAGCGAAGCCGAGCTCGCGGCCGCAGCACTGGCGGATACATTGGGAGCCAAGGTGGCGCCGAAGGGACCGATGAACAAGGTCTGGCCGCAGGGTGCGGGAGGCGCTGAGACACAGCTGCCGAGGTAGCGACCGAGCTTGCCCTTCTGGCTACCGGAGGACAGCACATAGGCCGGGCTATAGGCGGGGACCAGACCGGAGCTGTTGGCCGGGAAGAGGATGTCCTCCTGGTTACTGGCCAGGTAGTAGGCGTGCGCCGTGTGCTCGGCCGCCAGACGAGCCCACAGGAAGGACACCTCAGGAGCCTGAGTGTAGCCGGCCAGGGCGATGTAGGCACCAGCAACGGTTGACTCGAGGGTCAAGGCATTCTCAACAAAGCTCTCGGCGCTGCTGGCATTGGGGAAGGTGAAGCTGCAGTTGGGAGCCGTGAAGCCGGAAATTCTAGACCCGAGCTGCTGGGCGGCGCGTGTCCCCAGGCGGTTCAGACGCTGGATCCCCTGGAAGTTGGGGTAGTACTCGGCGTCGGAGTCGTTGGTTGCGCTCTGCAGGAAGGTCTGGTTGAGCGGGACCTGGTTATAGTAGCGGTCCAGGAAGTACGAGAGCGCCCAGCCATACTCGACGACCTGGGCATCCGAGGAAGAGGGCGAGCAGCTCGTGTTGCTCTGTGCCAAAGCTACTCCGGCGAGGAGCAGCTGGCCGATAGTCGCGATGAAGCGCATGGTTCGAGGGGTATGTATTTTGGGGGTTGAAGCGTCTTTTCTTGCCGGTCTGTTATGAGCTCGAGCAGTGTTGCAGCGAAGGGTGGGTGACCGCAAGAAAGAGAGATCTGCCGTGAGATATACTTATATGTGGTCGGTAGGCAACTGCGCGGTTCCTCCAGCGAAACAAGGTTTCCAGCACCGTTCGCCGTAGTCTATAATGTCGTCAAAGCCCGCAAGCAGATGCAACGATATGATCATGGGTGTGGAACCCTCAGCCTCCCAGCAGCCTCCGAGCATGCACGACGCGCGGTCATCCAGGCATCGAGGCGGAATCCGCTTCCCTCCACTGGATTTGCATCATGACATTTCCCGTTTCCCCGCCGCCGGGCAACCCCGAACGGTGGGTAGGGGTTTGGGAGGGGTGGGTATCTCAACATCAGCTGGCCTGGCTTTGGAGGTAGTGGTAGGGGGGGGGGGGGGGGGGGGGGGGGCGACAATCCCAACCAGCACCCGTGCTCTAGCGAACTGGTGTTCATCCAGGGTTCGACAGGAGGTTTTCAAAGTTTGTCTTCTACCTACGGTTGGGTGTGAGATCATAGAAAGAACATCTATCGCATTGACAGTCATAAATGAAAAGATTTTTTACCGGACCCTAACGGAAGTAGGAACCATGCGGGGAGATATTCTGCTGTCAGAATGGGAGTTTTGCACGGTGGACGATGGATGGTGATATCATCCGTCCGGAACGGATGGATAAGGTCGAAGTCGAGAGCGTAATTGCATGCTGGGTATGCTGTGCAGTTAGGCTGAGAGATTGTTTGACCGGGGTGTTTGACCGGGGCTGTGGTCGCCTCTTCACTTCTCTTCCTATTCTTATGGTGTGATTGGTATTTACTGGTAGAACAGCGGCGTTGATCTGCAGCTACTGTCAGTCTGCGCGATCGTCCATCTTCTTTCTTTCCGGATCGTCCGGGGGGGTGATTTTAGCTCCGCGCAGGAGACTTTAAAATGCCTGCGCTAGGCTGATTCGGGTTAGAGTGTTATTCAGGTTGGGGTTATCCTGGAGGTCACGTGTTTGATGGGAGGCTGATGTCCTTTTCTCAGCTCTGAGATTGAGCTACCCTTACTGGAGTCCTTCAGAAAGGCATACTATGTATGATTGCCCAAAGAGGTAGGTTTTTCTCGGGTTGGAAGAATTTTTTTAAGAAAAAAGTTATGCCCTCTTCCATCCATATAAGCTTCAGCTTCGGCTTCTATACAAAGCAACGCTCTCTGGTATACCTTCGGGTGATTTTTCTAGCTAGCGTTATTCTTAGCCCTTTCCGCGGTCTTGTATAATGGGCGCTCCGGCTGGCGGGGACGATGCTACTCATACGGATTCATACGCGTGCCTTTGTCGGGGGAGGAGTGATTTGCGCTGATAGGTAACATATTGTCAGCGTTACTTGTTAAGGCTGGAGTGGATGGGATATTAGTGAGGGCCCCCAGTGTGTGAATAGGGTACGGCTGTGTAGTCAAATCGTCTAATACCCTCATGGTGTAATGTACCCGCAATTGTATTATCTTTTGGTTTGTATTTTCTCCACTCGGGGCGATAAACAAGTATTCTGGTAGTGATGGCTGGCTGGGGTTTCCTCAGATGTCGTTCACATGACTCCCCATCTCTCTCTATACCTCTTGTGCGGGACTTGGTTTTGAAAAGGGCACCTCACGGGTGTATTTTCCTATACAATGAACTTTCCCTGGGAAGTTATACACACACACACGCTGTTGTATGCTCTCGCTTTGATGCTTTGCTTCGATGTTTGGCCATTCTTTTTTTTACCATAAAGAATGAAGAGACTTTGAAGTTAATATGGAAATGGTAGAATGGATTTGTCTTTTGTGGAGATGTGGGAAGCAATCCAAAAACTCCAGCATGGTGGCGCTAGCATTATGCGGCTGTAAAAGTGGTGATTCTACACTTGCTCCAGTAAATGATAGCGCTTGTAGTAAATTTAAAGCATACTGATGCTAGGTCTCGCCACAGGTCGGGTTTGGGTAACATTAGGACCTGTCTGAATACTGGATCTAAAACCTAGACCCGCCAATCTGTAGATTATATATATTAATCTGTAGATTACCCGCTAAAAGCCTGTTTAGTAACCGTCTTTGGTCTGTTAAATGCAGCCTCATTAATGCTACACGACAAGGCGCACTAGTATAGTTGTTTGCACAATTGGAATATTATACCTATTACTGGCCACATCTATTGACTCCTTCACCTACCCATCCGCATCCAAGTAGAATTGTGAGCCAAATCAATAGAGGAATGCAGTTGTTGCCGATAAATAGGACTAAATTGCGGAAAATTAGAGAATAAAACTTAGAAAGATTATGATCTAGCTCTAACAGTCATAATCTTGAGCAAATATCTCAAAACAAGGTCTTCATCAAGCGTGGAACAGGAGTTGCTCGCTGGTATATCATCGATTTTTAGAGTGAGTTGAACAATTCTGCAATATTTTCAACAATAGTAGTATACATAGAAGCTCTGTAATTGGTTGACTCTGGGCTGCTACTTCTTATCAGATTCTATATATTTTTATTATGACTTAAAACTTAAAGACGACAGAGTAAGTTCAGACAAGCACAGTAAACAAGCAAATAAAATAAACAAATCAGACTCGTCCAACTCCAAAGTAGATTAGAAGTAATATTTAGTGTACTATATAGAGTGTTGATGGTCGACTTAGATGGTTCCTCCTAGTACACTCTATACTAACTGCTTCCCTCAGTCAGCTCTAATTAATTTATATCCTGTGTAGTAAGGTTCGCCGCCAAACTTACCTTTCATCTATGATCTTGCTGCTCTGCATTGCCACTGGCGAGTCTCACGGAATCAGGTGACTATGCCAGGTAATCCAGCTTACGTGTGTCCTCTATTATTACAGCGCACAGAAGGACATTCTGCACAACACAGGCAAATTACAGGGACTCTGCTTGAAAAAGGTTATGAAAGGTCAAACCCTAGACGTCACAAAATCTCATACCAATTACTTCGTAGCCATTTATAGATTAGTTTCAGGTAAGGGTCCGGGTGTATCCTTGCGGGACCTGGGTGAGCAGGGCAATTGTGCAAACAACTTGCAGTATACAACTGGTCTTACCTGATGCGATACCTATGTTGCTCACAGAACTTTGGTTTATATAAGTAAAACTTAGTAACTTAACATAATTGGTAAGCGAGCAGGCAGATCTTCCAAGTCTATAGATCAATACACTTTATACATCCACCAACTTCCTTTCATATCAATCCAGGGTTCGCATCCACTCAAGCAAGCACACATTTCCGGTTGCCTCAAGTCATGGCTAATGACTACCCTTCTATCCAGCTCAAGCACCGTAGTGAGATAGTTCAAAATGCGACAAACTTCGAAAATTGTTACATGGCTGATTTTCTTAGAGGAATTGAACGTACAATGACCTACCTTTAGACGAATTCACACAGATTATCGTTCTTATGTTCTAGCCATGAATCACCACGTGGAGTTTCAAGCGACTTGCAATTCTCTAAGCAAGGAGGGATCATGTATACGTTATTAGGCACTCAGCACAAACACCACGACATACAACATCCAAGCCAACCCACTTCCCCATGCACACATCAACCCCCCATAATCAAGAAACAGACCCAGGATAAGGATTCCTCCCCCGCCCCGCCAGCACCTCTACCACAAACTCCCGGAACCCCACCGTCCTCAAATCCGGATACAGCACCCTGGCATCCAAATACCCCAGCTCCGCCGCCGTCTCGGGCGTATTCTCCCGACGCACGTACTTGCTGCACCGGTACTGCGCCAGGTACACGGCCGCGCGTTGCCAGAAATCAGTGGGATTTGCGGCCAGCGCTGCCAGCGCTTGCTCGGCTTTGCGGAGGGTTTCTGCCTCGGATTCCTGCCTGCGGTCAGCCTGTGTCCACACCCACCCACCGGGGACCACCGGACAAAAAGGGACCCTACATAGATCCTGCTAACGGTCTCACCCGAAACATCCTCCACAACCTCAAAAATCTCGTTCTCGGACAGCACCGCCGAGCACGTGTACACGGCCCGGTTGCGCGTGCGCGGGTCGGCGACGATGCGCGCCACGAAGCGGCCGATATCCCGTAGATCGGTGAGGATGGTGGGCGCGGTGCCGTCGCCGTGGATGATCGTCTCCGGCACCGGGATGGCGTAGGAGAGGCGGCCGGAGGGGACTGGGGGCAGGGAGAGTTGGTACCAGTAGCCCACGTCGATGACGGTGTAATCCAGGTTCTGGGTGCGGAGTTCGGCGAGGATTTCTTCTTTCTATCCCACTGCTTAGTGTGGTTCTTCGGGGTGGTGTGTATAGAGGGAGGTTCAGGTGGTTAGGTAGGTAGGTGTGTAGGCAGGCAGGCAGGCAGGCAGGCAGGTAGGTATAGACAGAGGCCAAGTGGGCCAAGGGAACGGACGCACCTCCTCCCGCAAAAGCATCGACCCCCGCGGCGGGGCGACGGTCACCCACGAGCTCGGGACGAAGCGCTGCACGCCCGCGCGTTTGGCGGCGCGCACGAGGGTCTTCTCCTGCGCGACGGTGGCCGGGCCGAGCGTGCTGATCAGGATCGCGATGCCGGCCAGCGCGGGCACGAGGGCGTCTTCGGGGAGATCGAGGTCCACGATGCGGGGCGTCAGGCCGCGCTGGAGGAGGGCTTGCACGGCGGGTTTAGGCACGGAGGCCGGGCGGATGAGGATGTCAATGTCCTGTGTAGTTGCGTAGCATTGCATAGGTTAGCTGTTTTGGATTTCTTATATGGGTAAGGGTCTGGCAGGGGATGTGGATGTATACAAATTGGTCGGCGGCGAGCATGGCTTCCAGGATGGAACCGCCTGTGTTGCCGGTGGCGCCGATCAGTAGAACCTTCGGTCGGGACATGTTGTTTTGGGATCGGGATTGGGATGCGCGATGTTGATCATGATTGTGTTTGGTGAAGGGAGACGAGCTCACCTTAAGTATACAGAAGTTGTCTCAGGGCTTGAGGTTGAGGAGTATACTAGCTGGACTCCTATTGGCTGGTTCGTGAACAGCACCAGTCATTATGCGGCATTTATTCCCAGCCCGGTCTCCCTTCCCGGCATCCATGATCCACGATCACTCCCAGCATCACTCCAGATGACCACGCCCCGTCAGGCAAACGGGCTCCTGACCTCCGAGCCATTTACACTTACTACAGAAGCCATTAGTGGAGATGAGGCTGACGGTACCACAGTAACAGGTCTGGCAAGAATGCTCAAACAATGAGTTGACTCTCTATCATATGTAAACAATTCAAACACATACAGCGATGTAAATAGACACACGCCTAGAGATAATTATGTACCATAACTTTTATGGCCCCAGTGCGGAGGAAAGAACAATTCACAGGAAAAGAACAACAGTGTATGTATGTAATGAAAATAGGAAACCCCCCATCTGATGCACGCAACTCTACAAGACTATGTCGAGGTGTTCCCACTCTTGCTTTCCCAGGCCCTCTTGGCACCCTCTAGAAGACCGTCCATATTTCCACTGTTCTCGCACATGCTGCGGAAGAGACCATCCTCGCGGTTGATCAGCGTCCACGGGTGCTCGAACTCAATGACCTGACCATGGTCAAGCACGAGCACCTTGTCGTAGTCAATGATAGTTTGCAGGCGGTGGGCGATCGTGATAATCGTGCTTTCCCGGAGCTCGCGGAGGGTTTCCTGGATCTTCGAGTCGGTATTGTAGTCAATCGACGCGGTGGCTTCGTCCATCATCAGCACCTTCGGGTTCTTGAGAAGGGCACGAGCAAGGCATAGAAGCTGGCGTTGACCCTGAGACAGGTTGGATCCGGATTCGGAAACCGCAGTCTCCAGGTTCAGGAAGATGTTCTTGTTGTCAAGGACAGTACTACTGGTGACACCG